CCGGCTGGCGACGCCTCGGAGTAGGGCCTTCTCTGTTGCCACTCCGCCCCTATGGAATGAGCTACCCCCAGAGATCCGGACCCTACCCGATCTCATGGCCTTCCAAAAAGCTATCAAAACCTGGCTATTCCGGCAGGCCTGGTGCTGTTGACCTCTGGATTGAGGTCCAGCCTTGCTTACACTGAGTGCATGTTGTGTCTTTTTAAATTTGTTGTGTTTTATTTGTTTTTAATCTTTTTTAATATTTTTGTTTCTGTAAGCCGCCCGGAGTCCCCTGGGATTGGGCGGCCTATAAATTTAATAAACAGTAAACATTCTGACCAAGGCTAGGACTTCGTCCATTCAAATGGGACTTCCTGCCCAATCTGATAAGAATACCGCTGATCAGGGTAACAAGGAGACTATAGGACCAGGGGATCCAGGCGCAGGCCTCTTTAAGGAAGCTACTCCTCAGGAGTTGGTTCCAGCGCCACAGCTGTTCCTGGAAATTATCCAGCGACAATGGGTTCAACCTGGGTCATTGGCCAATCCTAGTGGGGTGGATAAAAAGCTCTATTCGGTAGAGACCGCCATGGAGGAGCTCTTGAAGCTTCCGCAAGTGGATGATCCCATAGTGGCACTGACCTCCTACTCGGCCCTCCCAGCCGATCTACTGGAAGGTCTGAAAGCGGAGGACAAAAAAGTGGAGAAGGCCTGCCATAAAACTCACATGGTCACTGCATGGGCCATCAAGGCCTCCTCCTCCTCTTCCTACTTTAGCAGGGCAGCACTGTTTTGGCTTCCCAACCTCCCTGTTGGGGATGCTAGATCACGCCAAGATGTGAACAAGATCATTGCAGCAGTCGAGTATTTGGCCGACGCTTCACTTAACGCCACCAAATTTTCATCTAGGGCTATGGCTTCAAATGTGACCACCCGCCGCTTGCTGTAGCTACGCCACTGGCAGGCAGTCATGAAGGCTAAGTTGAAGTTGGCCTCACCATCCTTCAAGGGTGACAAGCTATTTGGGGAGGCCTTGGACTCTGTCTTGATTGAGTCCAAGGACAAATGGAAGATTTTACTGGGGGTCACCAAGAAACCAGACCGCAAAGGTCAGCCCTATTTTCGTAGGCAGTCCTTTCAGAACAATGACTCCCCTTCCACATTGGGGAGCTTTGCCAGGTCCTATTCCCATTCACAGGACCGCACCCAGGATAGGGCATCCTTCAGGGACAGACCCAGGCAGCAGGGGAACCGCAGGTCCTTTCGAGGGAGAACCGTCGTTCTCTAGGCACTGCG